GCTGAAAATTTGGAGGTTTCTTCAAGCTTTGTTTTAGGTGTGTATCAAGTCACATTTGATAAACTGACAGACATTCATGGCATATCCAGGAGCATAAGGCATGAACGCACCAGAACACAACAACAAACAAAAAACAACACCCACAAAAAACTCTCTGCAGGTCCTCAAACAATTATTTCCCAGGTAAGGCTCAACTTTTACCTACAAAATTCACCCACTCTATCAGTAACCAAGAGAGCTTTGGCTTTCAGACATTAAAAGCAAATTTACATGAGGTCTGAAACCAGGAACCCAGAGCAATCCCACACCACCTCTGCCAAAAATGAATCTGCAATAATACAGAATCCCTGTTCTTTATAGAAGCAAACCCACCTCATGAAGGTTATGGGATAAGTTATCTGATAACACAAGTCACAGAGTTCATTAGCATTACAGCAGCAGACCCTGAACATACATGTTATTTGCTACTCTACTGGTATACAGCATTAAAAAAAAAATCCCACTTTGCTTTGTCATGGGCATTTTTACTTCCCTGAAGCATTGTGAAGTCTCTAAAAGATGAAAGACAGCCATGTAACCAAATACTGTATGTTTTATGAGCCCTTCTCCGTGTCTAGCAACTGGAATAAAGACAAAAGCAGAACAGGATACCTGAGAGAGAAAAGAAAGCTTTTCCTGCGACAGACTTTTAATTCACAGTGATACCTGAGACATTATTTCCTCAGGTCACTATAGAAACCTTTATCGCCTTATGAAAGGTCATTGGGGTAAGTGACAGGAGACATCAGTTTCTCTTAACAATACTGGTTTCTCTTCTTAAAATTTAAATAACAAGGCTAAAGATTTTCCAGCTACAGATGTAAAAAGCCATTAGAGTATCCAGTCAATATTCCTGAAATTACAGGATAGAAGCCTTTCCACTGAGGACACAGCAAATAGTTTTACAGCCACCAGAGCATCACATTGCAAAAAAGACAACCATATTTTGACTGCAAACACAATCAAAGAATCACAGATACAGAATAAATATATCTGAAAGAGAAGCCTTTCCCCAGTTGTTTGCAATCTAGAGAAAAACGTCTTGGCATGATTCTAACATTTCTAAGGAAGAGTTTAAAACCTCACAACAGAAGGTACTTTCCAGTGCAGTCAGAGCAAAAGAGCAATAAACTGCTCGGCCAAAATGATTGGGAAATATTTTGATTACAACTTTTAATTGTAAAAATCATGTGTATTCAATATAAGTTTGGTGATCCCCCAGATCCCAAAGGAGCTAGCTTTGGGCCAAGTTCTGCTGCTTTTAGGTCTCACCTCACATGAGGAGTTGATCCCATTCACTCATCCAGGAGTGCTTCCTGATGCATCTTCATACCCAGTAACTCACCCTGTGCACGGGACAAATTGATGCTAGTTTTGAGCAGGAATCTGCCATTTTGATGCAAATGACAGTTAAAGTGTTTATGAAAACCACATAAAAGAAACTAGCAACACTGATAGAGGGCTTAATCCTGAGTGCTGCTGGCTTATTGTTCAAATGGCATCTTTCTGGGGACACAGTGCAGGAGCTCACATAGATAACTGCCACCCCGAAACACAGTTAAAGGTAGTGAAGACCATTTTTCTTTGGACTTCTGCTTTTTCTTTCCCTGCTGCATGCTTCTACATCACAAAAACATGAAGGAAAAGCACATTCTAGCAGGTCCTGCAGAGGATAAGTCTCTGCTCACGTAATACTTGGGTCTGGTTTTAAAAAGCAGTGTCACGGAGTAACAACAAAATCAAACCCAGTTGGAAGTACACAAGAGCAGGGGATTGCTTTATGTGAGATGCATACAGGCTATGCACCACTGCTTGTTTAGTGTTCTAGCTAAAGGTCTTGCTCTGTTTAACCCCATTTCTTTTAGCAGTCACAGGAACTCACATGCAGAAAAGAGGAAGAACTGTAACACACTGTAAACTCACAATTGGGTCCCCAAAAGCAACTTGTGAAAGGCACGAGACTCTGCAGAGAACAAAACCTGTGCTGAACAAAGTTAACTACGGAATATTTAGTTTTACATTTGTCTCTTAGAGCCAGTTCAGTAAAACTCTGTAAACATCATCCATTTTGTAACCAGTGAGCAGAAGTGAGAAGCAGCCAGGTTTGCTCACCCCCTGTGTGCCACATGCATCATGAAGCTCAGTGCTTACCCTGGAGGTCCCCAGGCAAAAGGAACAAAATCCATCTCAATGTTGCCTGGGAAGGAGACAACTTGCTACAGAGCATTGAGGCTAGAGCAGACTCTAGGAAGGTACACAATTTATTTACCATGTGCTTGAAAGCAAGCTGTACAAGAGACACTTGTTATGAATTACCATGCTCTCTCAAGGGATAGTTCTGTTGAGAACTTGAAGAATGTATTAAATGAATATCAGATTAAAACAATCTGCTTCTGCCAGCTCTAAAACACAAAGACCATTACTGTCATACACAGAAATAAAGCCAGAATATTGGAAAACTGAAAAACACAACCCAAACAATTGCCCCCGTGTTAGCCTTGGTTATCAGCTTCTTTTTTAGGGTGGAGGAAAGAAGTCTCTAGATTGTTCACTTAAACATAATGCAATCAGCTAAACAATGTTGAAGAAGCAGCACTAAGCTTTGTCTATTCATTCACACCATTTTGTTATCTTTCCTGTTTATCTTAGAGGCACACACAGGACCACAATGAAGGTTAGTCTTTACAGTATGACAAATCTACTGGTTTCCTATTTTAAAAGGTAAACAAGCCTTTTTGTGAATCTGAAATGCAGATAGCAGAGCTGTGTAACATTGAGTGCAACATAGATTGAACATGAGATTCCTGGACGTGGTGGGGCATCCCCTGGGTGCAGGTCTGTTGGCCAAGTGCAAACACAGATAAATTGCAGTTCAAACCATCAGCTTCGTCAAATCACTCATTTTGCATCACTCTTGCAGTGCACCACAATTCTGCAGCTGCTAAGTATGTACACAGTAAAATTAATTAACAGGGAGTAAAAAATGAGCAATTGAACATAAACTGTGAGATTCGGTTTTGGACACAGATCTGCATCAGGGGATCTTAAGAGTAGAAAACCTTGTAGGTTTTTTATTTGTTCCATTATTCCTTAAGTGAAAGTAAGGTTTTACAGCTGAGCTTTTTGTAACGTTTTATAAAAGTGGATTTTGAAATGTTTTTACCCGCAAAGAATTAAAAGTGGGGAGCTGTTTCACAGGAAACACCACCAAGCAGAAGAGATCACAGTTAAAAGCTTATCTGGATCTCCAGCACCACCTATAGATGACACAAAACACGCTCATGAAACCCTGCATGCAGAGTTCATTTATATCGACGATTATATGAAAATTAATGTGGGTTTTTTACTTTTTTCAGTTGCCAAATTGTAGTACATTTGCACTTACAAGTTTTTAGGCTTGGTACGATTTCCTGTAACTGAAAGTCTGCCCACCATACTCACCAGCATCAGCAGTTAACTATTCCAAACTACATCCAAACTTTATCTTAATAAGACTACCACCCCTTAGTGGTAATGCATAGCCACCAGCTCTCAACTCGGAGCAGTACACGTCCACCAGCTCCTATCTTTCTTGTCCAGCTGAAGCACTTGGAAAACTACAGGTCTCTGACATGCAAGCCCCTCAGCAGGGATACTTAACTCTCTTACCCATGTGGCTTGTAGAAACTAGAACATAATCTACCCTTGAGATCACCAGCCTTCATAAAATCAACCAGCTAGAGATACTGGGGAAACGGTGTGTAAGCAAGCAGATACAGAGGCACACTTGTGACAAAACCAAGTATGTGAGGCCAGATCAATTTATATTCTTTTGTCTAACAAAAAAGAAAGAATATGTAAGTATTAAAACCTAGGTCACCAGTGGATTAGTTAATCCAATGCAAAGACCTAGCACAGGTTTTGAAAGCTGAGAATTGAACTGCTATCACCATTTGTGTTGCTCAGTATTATAATTTAGCAAAAAAGCTGAAAGAAACTGTCCACTTGACCCACCTGTTTGATCTTGGTTGTAGTTTACCATATACTTTTCCACGCTAGTGTAACTGTTGGAACAGTCCTAGATCACTGAGATGACCTGATGGAGACCCCTCCCTCTGCAGGTCACATAGACTTGAACTTCCCCTCTCCTGCAGCTCAGCTGTGGGTCACAAGTGCCACAGCCTGGGCAGCTCAGCCCCACCAGGCTCTTGTGCTTCTGGGGAAGCGTCTCCTCCCCTGCAACATGAGTGCTCCAGCTGGTCTAGAACCACTATAAGCTGGGTGAAAAATGAGTATTTACTGTTACAGGACTGAGTTTCCCATCTTTCACTGGTGTTTACAGTAACTATTGGCCCAGTGCACAGGAACTGTGTGCAGCCTGACGATTTAGATCACACACATATGTACACATACATTTGGAGATGGGCTAATAGTGAAGAACTGCTACCATGCCATGCATGTTAATTCAAAGATAACGCGTTTGATCTACACTGCTCCAGTGACCATTTACAACCTGGACCACATCTAACAGGATCAAGCACTTACCTGTGACGCCTTTTATCTTTCAGGTGCATTACAAGTAGTCTCAAAGTAGCTGAAATGTCATGATTGGGTCTGTGCTTTAGGCACAACAATGAAAAGCAGCTGGAGAGCCACAAAACAGTGATGCCAGTGTTAAACCTCAGAGTATCTGGGCTTTCAATTTGTTGTTCTCAATTAATGTTCTGTAGTCATCTAATGTAGTAAAAAAACCTCCCACTTCTAATTTATATAAAATCAGGTGTGCTCAGTGACTTGGAACTGGGTCTTGTCAGCTCCTCAAATAACCTATCTGTAGGGAAGAGACAATTAACAGGAGACAAACTTGTATCACCAGAAAAGTTGAACAAGTGCAGGAAATAATAAACCCTGAAATACAACTGTTGGTGAACTCAGAACTGTCGCTTCATATTTCAATGCAGCATGGGGCTAGGAAACAAGTTTTTACTAATGCTTTTTTAACTAATCATTTATGAAGTTTTTTCCTCTCACTGGAGTGTGGTCTTTTCTGATATCTGCAAGTGTGAGGCACAGTGTCAGACAGTTCAAATCAAACCCTAGATTTTAAAACAAAACCAAACCAAAACCCCAAAACCAACACAACTTCCAAAAAAAGGAACATTAAAAATCAAGGATTTGGAAGGCAGAAGAGATACAGATCTTAAAAAACACTACTTCCCATAAATAATGACAGTGAAACTGGAGCATCCAAGTATAAACAACCCTTATTTCAACAAAAATCAAAGGTCACATTTTCAAGAACAGCCTGTATGACTATACTTGAGAATTATGACTGCATTTTCCTACTCAGCATTGAACAGCAGGAAGCCTTACACTGTACAAACAGTATGTACCACACAGAGGGAAGAAGCGGGGAGCACCCCACCTACACAAAATAAAGTCTGATCAAGATAAAGATTTCAAACACGAGGACTATTCAGAAAGTGGCCCTAATTAGATAATCTTTATATGCTTTCCAAGCATGCTTCTAGCACATAAAGCAATCATTCAATGTCTCCCACTAGCAAACACTTTGAAATTTATCTTGACTTTGACTCCCCAAGAGGGAATCTCAGAGCTGGTTTTGGTAACAGTTTCTTTTCAGTCTTCATGTATGTTAACAACTGTCCCTGGGATGCTGTCTGGCTGTTAAATCATCTCTGGTTTTCGCAGATCCAGGCACCTACAGAGCCATCTATTTTCTCAAGCTGAGTTTCAGTTCTCCAGACCAGAGAGTTTGTTAGTGAAGATACATTAACTACCACTACAGGAATGCTCTCCAGGTAGGACTATAATATTGCATAGTTCAAAATACAGCCTAGATTTCATTCATTATAGAAATGTGCATCATATAATGATGAATTACTATCTCACTGTGATTCAATCTGAGTTTATGCTAGTTTCTCACCTTCGATTGAAAACTATTATTTTTTTCATTTAGATTTTCCTTCTTCAAACTTTTCCTTCTTCCTCTTTAACTTGAAAAGGGCAGATCCAAAACATAATGCACTTTTACCACTCATGCAACTACAAACAGGCAGCACCAAAATAAGCACAAAATTTAAGAAGTGTTTGTAAAAAATGTATTTGCAGTCGTTTTGCTTTTGAAAACACAGGTGCCTCTGACAGACATCACTGTGCCACATACATGATTTCAATAGTGTTCTTATTAACAAAGTTAGCGGTTACTGATGGACAGACAAGATTCTTTTGTTTTCTAAAAAACGGTCACCTGGTCTTTGCATTAGCATTTCCTGATTCAGTGCCATGTACTAGCAACTTCTACATATAATAAGGAACAGACCCCTTAATTTTTTCTGAAGCTGCATTAGACCCAGTAGTAGACATTTCTTACAGATCAACAACCAGCCAGGTACACCTGATGCATACATAGCATGTAATTCAAACAGACTTCACTTACACTTCAGAATGGCTTGGACTATTATCTTTTTGTGTGTGCATGAAATAATGAGTCCACTGCGAAGGTAATTTATAATAAACTGAGGGAGGCTATGTTACTTTAACCAGCACAACACAAGAATCATTCCAGGCAGCTTTCTGCTTGGTGAAATTCTCACCAGTTGCTTTGCTGCTCAGATTTTACAAAGAACAGAGCCTCTGACTTCAGAGGCACATAAATACACAAATCCTCTTTTTCACATACAAGATGTATGTTTCTCTGTACAGAAAGTAAAATGGGTAGGTGGAAGGTATTTAGCTTTGTAGGATAAATTCTGCATTCACTTCTATCTTACGCATTTCTGCTGAATTCAGCACTGCCTCTGAGATTTAAATTTGTTTAGTAATAGTACTTTGTGACTAATCTGGTATGGAGTCTGCTGGACACAGCAAAGCTGTGTGGGCTCCACTCTGAATGATAGAATAGGTCTGCTTTGGGGCTTCTGTGTGAGAGGATGAAGAAAAGATAGGAGGAGGGGGAGCTGAAGTGGACACTGTTATACTCTGGCCTCCATCACTAACCACAGTCACTTCTGTTGCTCCTTCTTGTATCAAAGCATTAAGGCCTTCTAAGTCAGAGCAGCTGATTCCAGAGCTGGTGATGAATGCCTGGTTCGCTGAAGCCTCATGACTACTGACAGGAGCAGCAGGAATCAGAGTTTGATGTAAAGCACTTCCGTCGCTTTGGTCATGGGTTGTGAGAAGAACTGTCGGTTGTGCCACAGGCCCAGCTTCACTTTGAGATATAGGAGGTGGAGGTGGTGCCAACAAACTGACTTGGCCCAAAAGCTGCAAGCGGCTGTTGGCTGAGAGGTCTTCCTGAGTCTGGCCAACTAACGTAGGAGGCACAACATTCACTGATGCAGCCTGGACGATACTGTTAGTCTGAGGTACCTGGTGTCCCACAATGATCTTGACTCTTCCCTCGCTGTATGGAGAAACCTGAGCAGCCTGAAGTGGGACCTGGAGATGACTGACAGTAATTGGGGCACTGGTCTGCCGACTAGGATCCATCTGGAGCTGTAGAACAGCCAGTTCATTATTTTTAGATCCATTATACATACTGTGCTGCTTCTTATGACTCCGAAGAGAATCTTCTCGGACAAAGGAAGCATCGCACAAGTCACACTTAAATGCTTTCTTGGCATCCAATTTGGCAACTTGCCTGGATCCACCTTGCTTTGGCCTATCTCCTTCCTTCTTCTCCACAGTTTGCTTCTTGGTCTTGACTTTGTCACCATGAGCTTTCCTCACATGAGTTGTCAGGTTGCTCCGCTGCTTGGTATCAAAGCTGCAGAATTCACATTTGAAAGGACGATCTTTGCAGTGAATACGCTCATGCACTTTTAGAGCTGCTTTGTTGGAGCAAGAGTAGTTGCACTCTGAGCACTTCACTGGCTGTTCAGGCTGATGTGTTCTTATGTGGTGCCGAAGGCTTGTTTTGTTTCCACACTGAAATTCACACTCTGGACACTTCAGAGTATTTTCCATGCTGTGTTTGATACGAATGTGTGATTTCAAGTTTCCTTTCATGGCACACCGGACCTCGCAGAACTCACACTTGTAAGGTTTCTCACCAGAATGCACACGCATGTGCCTCTTCAAGTCTGAGTTGATTTTAAATTTAGCAGGACACATTTGACACTGGAAAGGAGCATCTCCTGTCAACAAAAAACACTGTTCAAATTACATATGAGACACCAAGATCCACTGGAGACATCAATGCTGTAATGAATTATGTACAGCTGATGTGTTCTAAATACCTGCAAACTACCAACAAATTTTTAAGAAGTAGAGAACTTTAATGACACAGTATTTATCACCCTGTCTGACATATTTGTGTGCAAACTCTCCACAAGCATGCCTGACAACATCTGTTGCTTTTTCATGTCTGCATCTTTGATGCATTCTCCATTTTTAGTGCATTTTGTGTGTAAAACTGTTCAGCACGCTCCAGAAAGTGACCGAAGTTTCTCATTTCCCCTTCTTTAGCAACTGCGTGTCCCATCTAGTGTTAAGAATTAATTAAAAAAACACTGTACCAGCTGTTGCATTTTTGAAGTTTAAGAAAACAACATAAACATGTCCACGTCTTGGATTTACCACAGGATCTACAGGGAGGCTTGTAGGTTAAACTAGGTAAATGGTAGGCTACTGCAGAAACAGATGCTTAATGGGCACCAGGCTTACTGCTCAGTCATATATTCCTTACTGCCTTTCTTGTACATTTGTTCACATAGTGAGTTAGATTACCTCACAAGAAAAACTGATTATGTTTTTTTTTAGCCTGGTTCTTGCAGTACAACACAAATACTGGCGCAGGAAGGCAGTGGAAACTCTTTGTCAGGACATAGGGAGATGTGGGGACAAAAGTCCGTACCTAGGTCAGTGTCAGGTGACTGCACCACCAGAGCATTACTACAAAAATAAAAGAAGAAAAAACCCAACCAAACAAAAAAGGGGATCAGAGCAGCTACATAAATGCAACTGGCAAAGACAAATGTGAGACTAATGAAACATGCATGCAAATACATGACTCTAGGGAAATGTGCTTACACAGAGAAGTAACATTAAGCTTTTGTTTTTCTGGCACTACAGCAACGAAGAAAGAGATATTTGCACTATGTATCATACCTAATAACATTCCACAGATCACTTCAAGAAAATCTACTATCAGTCTGGATTCATGCAAACAGTATACAAAATAGTCACAAGCCTTTTTTCTTTTTTTTTTTTTTCCCCTGACAGCAATGCTGATTCAGAAACCAAACAATAGTAGTTGAAAGTTAGGTCAAATTCTTAACTGATAAAACATGAAAAATGAACACACTCATCTGCAAGAGCTCTGTAAGTCTATTTATGTCAGACTACCTACAAGAACAACCACTAAGCCACTATTTTGCATTTTTTCTATTTGCAGGCTTGTGTCACAACACGCAGGAGCAAATGAAGCTGTAGCTCTGTTTAGTCCATAATCAATTCCCAGAATAAAGACATGGTAACTCTGTTCTGAAGTCACTGAAAAAAAATCCAAAGCAAACCTACCTACCCAACTAAATAACTGTTCGGTTTTCTTCTTTAACCTAAATACATAGCTCTCTAAAATACCTGAGCACAAAATCTTTAACTAGATATTATTTTGGAAAAAGTCAAAGAATTGTGTTATTAGGTTCTAAGACACCCTCGGTGAGAGAGGAAAATGACAGTGTACTTACTTCAGCAAGCATTTATCTTCTTTAATAATCAAACTGCAAATGCCTGATTTATTTTACAAGTTAATATTTTATAGAGTTTGTTATAGCTGTATAATTTTGCATAATTTGCTTATCCAGCTACATATGTCATTGGTTTAGCTGCGTATTTTTCAAATCAAGTTGTGGCCTACTGTGCTAATCCATGTATCTGTTTAATAATTGAGATGCATGGTGTATTATCTATATTAAACAGATTTTATTAATGAAGATGCACTGTTTGTTCATCTCATTTATTTTACAATCTCCGCTGCACACTCAGCTACTGACTTTTTATCTACTTTGCTGATGAAGGCACAGTATGTATTTCAGTGACTTAATTCTCATACAGGGTAGCACAATATATGAAAAAGAATTAGTAATTTTACTGAATATAGCAAAGTATGTTGGTTCTGTTTATTTAAAGAGCGGTCTATAACTTTACATTTATTTCTTTACATTTCTGCCCATACATAATTGACACTGACAGAATAGAAGTTAAAAAAGAAGAGTGATCCTGGAATTATTGGTTGTAACAGTGGTTTTACTCAGACTAACAGGAAACTAATCTTCAGATGAGTACTTCAACAAGTAATGCTATGTAGATGACCTCACTCTGAGCAATGTAGACTACACTCAACCTTCTAGAGTATGACTAATTCCAGTCAGCAATATATTCTACATACCAGTCTCACTTTTCTCCTAAAACCGTCTGTGTGCATAACAGTTTTGTAACCTAACAAGGATGAAACAATTAGTTTCAAAATTCCTGTGCCACTTTTCAGAGAATCAAAAGTCCTTTTAAGGAAAAAGGATTTATTCTGCAGAAATGGAAGAGACAGGCTTGAATTTTAGCATAGTTCAATTGCTTATGATACAAGAGACTGATCTGCCAAAAAGAAAGAAGGTAGCCTAAACTGCTTCTCAACTATTGCAATATTTAATGCCACAAAAATCTAACTCTACTGGAAATACAAGAGAATCATGATCATTCACAGGTTCTCCCACAGCCAAATTCAAAGCATACTGGGCCATGTACACAAATGTACAAGCATGCATGCTCTTATACGACATGGGGTAAATGCAGTACCATATTCTGTGACTAGTGTGCATAGCATCTTGATGGACCATCACATCTTCTTATAGAGCAATAGAAAGAGGGAAACCTGTAAAATAACTGCCTGACAGTCCTACCTATTCCATCACAGCGGACTTGTGAAGTACAAAATATTCTTTTCTGCTAGAGACAGGTTGGTTTAACCTTGCCCTCCTTCACAATGCACAAGGGATTTCTTTCTTTTATCTACTCAAAATAAACCCCATCTTGCACACATCTGAAATAATGTTGTTTAGTACTTGAATTTGGAATCAGATGTAGGATAGCTTCAAAGCCAATCTAGTAATCACTGAACCATAGTCACCTTGCAGCTAAAATTCACCAAACTAATCAAATGTATAACAGACAAACCAAAAACTAATTTGGTACCCTGGATTAGGTGAAAAACAACATATGAAGACAACTATAAAGCAGTATCTTTACAGCAAATCTCTTCTAGGAACAATCTATAAAAGGGAAATCTGATTAAAATGAAACAAGGCAAACAATGCAAATATAAAATGATACAATGTTTATAGGGCTGAAGGCTAAAGCTTCCTAGCCACAGAGCAAAAATTAAATGGGCAGAACATAGTTCTGGCTGCTCATATGACACTGTTAATGTCCATCGGTCTACAAATGGCAGGTACCACAAGCAAAGGTCAAAAAATGATGTAACTTAAGTTGCCAATTACTTTCTAATTTACTGATGCAAGAAAAACTAAAGTATGCAGCTGAGGTTTACACTGATATAACTAATTACAAGGTAATTTTAGGGTTTCTAATATAGCCGACCTGATTTGAGAGATGCAAATAGGAACCTAGGTTGTCTTATCTCTTAATCAATCAATCAAGTAGATCCTACAGTTCTACTGGTTTGAGAGCATCTAATAGATAGTTTCAAAATCAATTTAGAAGAAAATCTACCAAGAATCAGATCTGTCTTTTGATTGTTTCCAGGTATTTTTCGTATAGATGTATTGCCCTACTAGATTACATGCCCAAGAAATTCACAGAAGTTGGATGCCTAAGTGCTTCCGAGAATTCAAACAGGCCCTTTCTGCAATCTTGACACCTGCATACCTTTTAAAAAAGGTCTTTCCTATGACCTTCAAACCTTTGCAGATCTGAATTTTAGTATAAACTTACCTGTGTGGGATCTGAGATGTACAGTTAGCTGGCTGGAGTTGCGGCTTGCGTAAGGACAGATCTGGCATTTAAAAGGACGCTCGTTGGAGTGAATGCGCTGGTGCTTGTTGAGGCTGCTGCTGTCAGCAGCTGCATAGTCACAGTGTTTACATTTGTAAGGCTTCACCCCAGTATGAGAACGCATGTGCATCTTCAGCTTATCTTTACGACTGAAACACTTATTACAAACTTCACATTTATGGGGCTTGTCTCCTGAAGCAAACAGAAGAGCATCAACACATCATGAATTTTTGCACCATAAGGATGCTGTTGCAGTAAAAAAAAAAAAAAGCACACACTGAACACTTAACAGAACTGGAACTAGTTTTTAAAAGCTGGACATTGGGTTTCAGCAGCCATCCTACTAGCCAAGAACTCTTCTATGCTCTAGAAGGCTGCATGCACAAGTGCAACATATTTAGAAGACCCTTTGGAACTTTCTCCCTTTACAACTATGAAATTGCAGTTTAGGGGGAAGGGAGGTAAAATGTTGGAATCACTGTTCCACATTAAGAAGAAAATAGGTTTATGCATTACCACCACACTGTACCCTGATAAACACATGGTCTGCACCTCAGAAATTTAACTGTGCCTCAAATCAGTGCAGTGTTCATGAGTGGTACTGCCCATAATGGGGTATGTCTTACCCACAAAGGGCAATTCCCCAGGCACAGAGAACTACAATACAGGTACAGACATACATGTGCATCCTATCTACAGAGACTTTATTTTGTGGAAAAATACCTTTTGGCAAAAAGTCAAATCAAAAATAAAATACAGCAACTATATAAACCTGTGTGTGTTCGTAGATGGCGTTCCATATCCTTCATACCATAGGAAGTCTTGAACTGGCAACCTGACAATGATAAGATCAAGATCATGACATTCAAGGAAAATGTAACAAAATAATAAAAATATTCTACCATATTCTCAGCATTATGTTTATAAATTCAGTATTAACAGAAAATGAATTCCCTGTCTTGTTTACTCACATCTACTTAAAATAGTGACCGGCTTACCTGTGAGCTTTAGTTTTCTAATGCTTCTCTTAGGAAGCAATTCACTCTCTACATTACCATTTTCTGTAAGCTTTGAAACAAATTCTCTGGAATCTCTGCCTAGGATTTCAGATGCTCTTTACAGTACACAGGGGATGCTGGGGGAACTAATTAATTCCACGTACAACTTCAAGTTAGTGCAACTGGGAACTCTGGTAACAGCTCACCATTCAGGAATTCTGCCCGAGTGGAAAGAAAGTGCTACATTTTCAGAGTACAGAAATGAATGCTATGCATTTGAAATGCGCCTTTCAAATGAAAGCAAACTTGTGAAAGGAAGCTGTAACTTCTGTTACCATTAACAGGACTACTCACTTTATTGCTACCTCTACACACATTTTCTGCATATTGAATGGTTTTTACTCATTATGGTCTCAAATACATCAGTTCAATTTGTCTTTATAAAAATGCTAACTGACTAAAGACAAAACATTTAATGCAAAATGCACGTGTAATATTTCTCATGTACAACAATGGCAGTTTGCGAAAAGGTAGCAAGACTGCTGTTACATTGCTATGGTGTAGACATAGACCAATGTCTGCAGCAAACTCCCTGCAGCATTGCCAGAGTACAGGACTGAAGCCTAACGATATGTAAACTCAATAGCAAAACTACTACTGGTACCAGTGGTAGTACATCACACCCTTTGTAAGTTGCCTTCCAGGTCCTGCGCATTGTAACTGCATAAGACAGAGTTACTGTGTGTATCAACTATTAAAACCTATCAATTTTAAAATGAAGATGAAGAAAGTATAGTTCACATCTTACCTGGATAGCAGCAGTTTAGTTTCTTCTGTGTATGTGAGGAAGTGGATTTTTTTGATCGTGGTTTTGGCGGCGTAGTGACAATAGCAGCAGTTGGAGGCTCACTGCTCTCACTAGGCAGGTATGTTTGATAGCCATGCTCAAAAACAAACTCTGGTGCAGAAACTAAACACATAAAACAGCTCAATTTGAGAACATTAACTTCTCCAATCAGAAAAACCTAATTATTTTCTAATTTCATTAATTACTTCTCTACTCTACTTTTTTTCCCAGCAAAATTCCTGTTCCTGGCTTCCTATTCACCTGGGTGAAGGGGAAAGGAAAATGTCTTTTCTCTCCCTTGCTATCCTGCAATCAGTGAAAATTCTGTCAAGATGAGCCATGCTGAACTTAGTACAAACCTATGTAGGCCCTCTTGTCTCCCTGAATTCTATCTCACTGCACTGTTGTTTCTTCAGCAGTTCATTATTTTTCTGATGCTTGTCCAGGTCTTATATTAATAAAGTATGTTTGTCTTTTAACACTGGCTGTGCTACAGCCCAAAGGGAAGAAATCTCAAATTATTTATATGGCAAATGTTGTCAAAGAGGCATCATGTAAACAATTTCTTTCTTTTTAAACAGTTAAGAAAGTTCAGTGTTCTTCAACTATACGGTTTTTAGCTGTTACTCACAAGAATAACAGATGAAACAAACTCAGCCAAAGTAGCAGCTTTTAAATCAATTAGACAACGCTATACCCCAAAAGGGCAGAGGGATATAACTGCCCTCGTTTTAAAGATGAGTAAATATGAAGCAGAAAAATGACTCATCCAAAACCCACACCGAGTTTCAGGGATTATAATATAAAAATTCCTGGAAGTGAGCCCTGAATTCAGTATGTTTCATTGCTCTTCCAGATTCTCTGCCTAATCTGTCTATCCAAATTAAACTCAAATAATTTGGATTTCAGTAGGGTTCCAGACAAAAATAAAATACAACTATATATAGAAGGGCAAACCTTCACACACGGAACAAAACTCTAGTTTTAGGTAAATGTCTCCAGGATCAGAACCTCACTTGAGCCTTCGCATAGGCAGAAATTTTGAGTAATATTTTTCCTGCCAATTAGTTGTGGGAGCAATGTTAGGGAATGCAGTGTTCTCACATAAAAAAGCCTGGATTGGCGCCTGACAACAATTCTGTGTCTGTTTTTCATCAAGAGCACTCTTAAAAAAATAAAATGAATAGTAATTTGATTATATTTAAGAAGTATTGACAATTTTAATTAGTTTGCACAATTTGGTTATGCACCACATCAGATTTAACCAATTCTCTAAGTAAGTAAACTTGTATCTCAATTAGCAAATCAAGTAACTGTTGCCATACCAAACCAAGATGGCAGCACACCACTTGCTAGTCTTCCTTTGCCTGCAGATATGACTAATGGGAAAACTGTGATTTTAGCTTAGTGTGACAGGGGCATACAAGCAGAGGGCTGTATAATGCTGCCACTTTGCATGAGGTGAGTGTTTTCAAGCTGCTGGTCTGTAACACCACGGTACCTGTTATGGTTTGGGTCTCCGAAGCGATTGTCCTGGTTGTGGTCTGTGCCTGTGTTGATGGCACCGTTTCTTCCGACACAAACTGGACGGTGCTGGTGGCCCCGGCCGTCGCACTAGTGAGCTGACAGCCACTTTGCTTATGCCCAACGAAGGCATCGAGGTTATTGAACTGCTGTTTGCAGATGCCACAGATGTGGATGTCAGGGGTGAGCTCCACCAGCACGGTGGTGCCACCAGGAACTGTGGGAGCAAAAGCATGGTCAGGAGCTTGTCCAGAGGAAACAGGAATGCATTAAACCACTCAGACTGACACACAGACGCCCACTGACCAAGCGCCCAGGCCGCGGGGCAGCCCCTTCGGTCCCAGGGTGGCTTGCCCCTGGTTAGGCTTGCAGGGGCCCATTGGGCCCTGCGGGACCCTCAGAGTGGGCCTGTCAGGAGAACGGGCAGCCCGTGCCACCGGACACGTTTCCCCCAAGGCCTCAGCGTCCCGCGTTGGTCCGCCCCGCCCCGCCCCGCGCGGAGGGCCCTCGCCCAGCGGCCGCGGCGCCGCTCCACAGAGCCCTCCGCGCGCTCACCCAGATTCCCGGGTTCCCCCCCCCCCGCAGCCAGGTTCCCGGGCTCCGCTCCCGCCCGTTTCATGCTCTACTCAGGTTTCGGGGCCTCCCTAGGCCCCGGCTCAACTGGGTTTCCGCCGTGTGAGCCCCGGAGCGCGCATACCTCGCGGGCGCGCAGCGGCACTTACACTGCACGGGGCCAGGGAAGGCCGGCGCCGCCCCCCCGCCGCCGCCGGGGTTCATGGCGGCAGCGGGTCCTGCTCGCCGCCTCCAGCAAGGGGATTATTAGCGGCGGGGAAGCGCTCCCCCCGCGCCTCTCGGCCGCGGAGCAGGGCGGATGTGGAGGATTCGAGCATGCTCAGTGGAGTGGCGAGGCTGCGCTGCCCTTACTTATTGCAGGGCTGAGGGCTGGCGCTGCTGCGCCCCTTCCTCGCTTTAGGGCGGCTGTAGCTGCCTCTCGTTTCTGCCCCCCTCTCCGCACAGGAGCATCCCGAAGAAGTCAAGCCACCATTATTAAACTTTATGTCAGCCAGCGCTAAGCCTGCGCGTTCCGTAGGAGGCGAAGTGACCCGTGTGTGCCTTCGTGTGGAGTAGATGGCGTGGCCATGCTGCTCCGCCATGGCTGTGGTATCAGGGCTGAGGCTTCCATTGTGCTTCAGCATTGCTTCCCACAGAGGCGTTCCTCTTGAATTAGAGCTTTAATGTGCTTATGGGAGTTCGGTAACGAGTTAGGGCTGGCACTGAGATTGTTGTAGTGCAGTAGAAGCAGTGAAAACCAGCCTTAAGTTTTGGCTTTTTGTGTCATAAGACTGGCCTTAATGCAAAATCATGTTTACTGCTACTGCAACACTAATAACTGTGCGGAGAACCCAACTGGTTGCACAGACACGATTGCCAGAAACCCATGCTTTTTGAGTGAGTAAAACAGCTCTCTTTGCACTCTTCCTACTGAAGAACTCTCATCTTACCAGGTCATTTGTCTTCCACGAGCCCTCAACCTTTCCTTCAGTCATACTCACCCCAAATATTGGAAGATAATTTAATTTATAGTACCAAATAAGAGTCTGATACCCACTGAAGTTATTAGAAGGCCTCTCTGTTGTTTGGGTTTCTGGATGTAGGCCTCAGTGTGCATTACAGGCAGATAGTGTTCCTCCTGCTTGGGGTTGTACAAGACTCCTTGCTATAAGATGACACCCCTTTTCAAGGGGGACTGACAGACACATTCTGTGCCAAGCGCGTTTAGTGCTTTGCAGCACCAAACCGGCTCACTGAGTGCCAGCTCACTGAAAATCATGCTGCTTTCCCCTGTATTAATACAGTGATTCAAGAAGGATGCCCAGCATTATACATACACTGTATAGAAAATGGAAATTTGGAGGTCAGATGCCCTTTAGCTTGTGTAGCTGTCATTTGCTACTTGAATTTCACCAAGCTGTAAGATGCAGAAAGCTCCATTTGCATGGGATCAGTAAAGACTCAGTGCTTGGCAGCTGAAGTCTGACAGGCATTTTATCCACGTATTTTGCATCCAATTCAGGCTCCTACTACCTTCAAACTTTCATTAGGCACTGATACTCTGTGTTCTGAGAAGTGCAGAGTAGTGGGAAGGAAAATTCTACACTGGTGACACAGGGTTAAAGTGGCTGCAGAGGGAGGAAAATGGACTAAGATGGGTAACTGAAGATCATACAATGTGGATGTAATGTGACTTGGAAAACAAACTATTAATTCTGCTTTGTCCTTGTGAATTGAATTTTGGTCCTGCGTGGTTTTACAGCTGTGTAGGTCTAACTGTGTGTTCATTAATAAATGCAGAACAAGCTTGTGCATGCGGTAAACATACCCAGAACTTCAGATGCCAGTTCATATTACACTTGAAGTTCTGTTTTCCTGGGAAACTGGTGTCTGCTTGACATTTCCGTTGACCCATTTTGCCAAAACAATATAGCACAGACATGGGATTGTTAGGGGACCAAGATAAGACACAAAAGGTGACAATTCTTGTTCCAGCCTCTGAAACCTGCTGACTGTGTTAGATAGCACATTGTAGTGCTGGCTGTAAGGATCAAATTTATCTCACTCCAAGACCTCAGGTATATTTTAGTTCAATTTTAGATTCAGAATTTGATTAATGCATTGAAAACTAATGAAGAAGGAAGCCAAATAAACTCCACACAATGGGTATAAAATGTGGAACATTAGTAGGAGTTTCAGAATATATTCAGAATCTCTCTAATAAAATATAAGGAATTTACATTGATTTCTGGAAATACAGATGGTTTTATGTTAGCATAGCTACACAGCCAGTATCTATAAAGCAGAGCGCAGAAATAAGAATACGTTTAGTGCTGATGAGACTGTTTTGGGAATATATCCAAAAGAAATTAAATCTTAGGGTAAGAATAATCAACCTGAATCTGTTTTTCCACGGTACAGATAGAGCTGTAGAATTGAAAGCTGTCTTTTAAGTCATTTTGCTATTTTTTTTTCCAGAACACGATGACCCATTTCCAAAGCTGACACAGTGCCTGCCTGTCGATCCCCCAACTACAGTTGCAGTCACAGGTGTGCTTTGGAGTACTGCGTTTCTCCCTCAGTTTAATGCTTTTTCATTAGGCTACAAACCTGTTTGACTTCATTAGAAGATAGTAGGCATTGTGTTGTGTTAAAAAGTGAATTTTCACTTATCCAAGGGTCTGTAATGACAGTTAGGCAGGCTCTGTGCCGTCTTTTGACTGCCAGAACAAATACAGCAGGGGAAGAGCATTGCAGCTGTGCTCGCTGATGTGCTTGCTCCTTCAGTCTGGGTGTCAGGGTAACAATATTTAATAGATACAGGGGTGGTCTGAGGTTACATTACTGAGTCAGATATGAATGGTTTTGTGTCTGGTATGTTACCATCTCTTTTAGAAACACTTGCTACATTACTCAATTGGACATTATTAATGAGATATGTTAAATTAACTTTCAGGAAAAGATTCAGAGTGAACTGTATGGCTGCAACTGGCATCTGAAAGAGGAATTCCCTCCACCCTTTCCATCATTCCTTCCAGCTGTCTTCCAAAAATCACTTGGTCAGTAGCAAACCATACTGCTTGGTTCCCTGTGCTGGCAAGGACTGAAGGCAATTGGAAGGAAAGTGCTCAGTCTTGGACTGCTCTTGGGTTGTTCTTCCCATCTCTGGTATTTCCCATCATGCTGCAAATACAACTCAGCTGGGAATTTTCAGGTTTTTTTCATTGAAGGAAGGAGGAGTTGAGGCCAAATTAATACTTTTCATAGGACATGGGTTTTAAAAATGTCTCTGCTGGGAAAGAATTTTCAGATCCAGGCAGCTACATGTTGTTAAAACCAGAGAGAAAAGCACCTGCACAAGAAGAAGCAGTAACTCTCACTGCAGGCGCCTGTGGTTCAAGTCCTTGGCCTTTGATATCTTAAGGGAATGTCTACTGTCACATCACTTTCTCTGGGTTCTGTTTTGCTTTTTGTTTCACGTATATTTCTTTCACGGAAGAACTAAGAACAGTCAACAGGCACTGGTTTCAGTGTAATGCAGAGCTTGAAGTATTTGAAAACCCCCACCTCATGTCTTTAGGATAACAGCCAGCTTTATATCCACTGCAGTTTAGAACAACTCCTGACATACAGCACTTCCAAACATAAGGACCTGCCTTTAAAAACATGGGCCTGACAGTTATATCGCCTCTTTGCATAAGACCTTCATAGCAAAATGTTCTCTGAAGCACACAAGTATGTGCATAACGTCGCTTGCAGAGATACTGGTTATCAAGTGCACATTTACAGGGAAAGCTCTCTGCAGCTGGCACTGCTTGCTGCTTTGTGTTTCAACAGTACTTAGCCTGATGATGGCTTGATTCTGGCTTTGGCGTGAACATTGAAAACCCCATTATTATCTTATTAATAACTAATAACACTTACAGATCAGGACTTTATTGAACAATGTTCTGGACAGTTTTCATTTTACTGGATGAGGATTGATGTCTGAGAGTGTAACACCGTACCGAGCACTTGAGTCATCGAGCAGAGCTCTGCTGAGATCACACTTGACACTATTTCCAGCCTTTAAGGCATAAATCAGTATGCATGTGTAATCTTCGTCACCCTTAACCTGACTGAAATGGAAATACTGCAGTGCTTCAGGGTCCTTACAAATGCAGTGCAAGCAAACAAGGCCCAGAAAAGACGAATGTCAATCACGAGAGAGAGAAAAAATAAATCAGAGGCATAAAAAGTCAGGCCTCATCAGAGCCTCAGAGACAGGCATTCCCGGGCACTGTGTTGGACAGCTGTGGCCTCAGTGCTTTCCTGGAGACAAGACATTTATGTACGACAAGAAACATGTAGACTTCTACCTACATACAGAGCTTCCACCCCTTCCCTCAGCCCCCCTGTCTTCACAGATCTCACAGGGGCAACATATTCTACGTCGCAAGCTGAGAGAAAAAGAAACAATCACTAAACCCAGCCCTATTGAAGTACTGGGAAGAGAGTTATTGGTTGAGCTAGACAGAGCAAACCCTGCTCTCCTGTCCTTTAAATATTATATATGTATTATATTAATAAAGCCTTTTAAAATATTACACCATTTATTGTTTCGCTTTTCACAACAGATGGAGGAAGACAGGTTTAAAAGAGGAAAAAAAAACCCCAAAACCTAGAAGTATATATACATAAATGAACAGAACATAGCAGTAAGATGTGAAAAATCCCCAACAGTATTGCAAGAAAAGAACATAGACTTGGTTATAAGCATGTGGCCACTGAAGAAGGAAAGCTTATCACTCTTTGAAGGCCCTGGTGTGAAAACATCCCAAGTGAAATTGGAATGTGGCCTAGGGGACAGACAAAAAAACCCCATAAATGTAATTAAAGATTTTAGATGTTGAAGATGAAGGCAAACGAACAGTGGATTTCAAGAAAAAAACTAGCCAATTAAAATAAAGATTAAACGCCCCAATTTTTAGCATTTCATAATTGTATTGATGGATAACCACATACAGAGCAACATAAATGCACCGAGCTCAAATTAATTATATTAAAATAATAGGTAATCTGTCTCTATGTTGATAACATAATTATGATGATGATTTTCAAATGTTTTAAAATAATGTCATTTCAGTTCATAATGCAAGGTAGGGATTTTGCTGTTTAACGTATTTGATATTTATACAATATTTTCAATGTCATTGCTTTCCTCTACAATAAACACAGTCTAAATAATCAGTACCTTAAGATATTTCTTACTGCTGTATAAACTGTAAAATAATGTGAAAATATTATTTACTGGAATAACACATTGACAGCTGTGATTAAACTTCAAATGAATACCATA